TGATTTTTGTTTGTCCGTCTCTCTGCAGCTGAACGGTCTGGATGGTCGGGACCTGGTCTGCAGAGATCTGGGTCTGTCAGAGTCTGACGTGAACAGGAACTCTCCTCTGCTGCTGGAGCTCGTCAGGAGGAGACACAAGACCACAGAGGTGAGAGACTCATCAACCAATCACAGATCAGAGACTCATCAACCAATCACAGATCAGAGACTCATCAACCAATCAGAGATCAGAGACTCATCAACCAATCACAGATCAGAGACTCATCAACCAATCAGAGATCAGAGACTCATCAACCAATCAGAGATCAGAGACTCATCAACCAATCACAGATCAGAGACTCATCAACCAATCACAGATCAGAGACTCATCAACCAATCAGAGACTCATCAACCAATCACAGATCAGAGACTCATCAACCAATCACAGATCAGAGACTCATCAACCAATCACAGATCAGAGACTCATCAACCAATCAGAGATCAGAGACTCATCAACCAATCAGAGATCAGAGACTCATCAACCAATCACAGATCAGAGACTCATCAACCAATCACAGATCAGAGACTCATCAACCAATCAGAGATCAGAGACTCATCAACCAATCACAGATCAGAGACTCATCAACCAATCAGAGATCGGAGACTCATCAACCAATCACAGATCAGAGACTCATCAACCAATCAGAGATCAGAGACTCATCAACCAATCACAGATCAGAGACTCATCAACCAATCACAGATCAGAGACTCATCAACCAATCAGAGATCAGAGACTCATCAACCAATCACAGATCAGAGACTCATCAACCAATCAGAGATCAGAGACTCATCAACCAATCACAGATCAGAGACTCATCAACCAATCACAGATCAGAGACTCATCAACCAATCAGAGATCAGAGACTCATCAACTGATCAGAGACTCATCAACCAATCAGAGATCAGAGACTCATCAACTGATCAGAGACTCATCAACCAATCAGAGATCAGAGACTCATCAACCAATCACAGATCAGAGACTCATCAACCAATCACAGATCAGAGACTCATCAACCAATCAGAGATCAGATCTGAACTTCCTTTGTACTCCATGTTCTCACACACTTCTCATTTGTCTGTCTTCATGGGGAACACGTCTTCATGGGGAACACGTCTTCATGGGGAACACGTCTTCATGGGGAACAGGTCTTCATGGGGAACACGTCTTCATGGGGAACACGTCTTCATGGGGAACACGTCTTCATGGGGAACACGTCTTCATGGGGAACACGTCTTCATGGGGAACACGTCTTCATGGGGGCATGCTGTGGGGCGTCACTGGCTTTTGGGGGTGATAGTAGCTTTAGGGGGGCGGCGGTGGTTTAGGTCCTGGGGGGTGTGGTTGTATCTTTGGGGCTAACAGTAGGTTTTGGGGACGCCCTCAGTGTGACATCAATCTATGATCCTGTGTGAGTGTGTATCATACCTTTTTGTTTGACAAGCATGTCTCTTAATAACAGACTTACCCCCCCCCATATAAAGTCTGTTAAAGTCTTTATCTGTGATTTTTCACACTTAAATATAAAAATCAAGTATCTCCTCTAAAAATAACTCTGTGAGTCATGACTGTCTACAATGGGTGTAACACCCGAGTCCCACTGTCTGTGATGTTTTCAGAGTTTTCAGAGTCCTATCTTCACTTTGTTTACATCGCCAGGACGGCCGGCTGACTCCTCCCCTCGTGTATAAAAGTTGTTTAATTGAGGGACTAGAGAAAAGAAGAATAACATACTGTACTCACTGCTTAACTGTGTTTCTAGATCACGCTCATTTCAGGTAAATTTACATGCAGTGTGAAGATACCAGCAGAATAAAGATCACTAGCATTAGCATGCTAACACAACAATGCAGCGCCAGTTGTTTTGGTTTCATGCTGGAGCTCAGACACTTTGGTCCACGCTTTGGTCCACTCTTTGGTCCACACTTTGGTCCACTCTTTGGTCCACTCTTTGGTCCACTCTTTGGTCCACTCTTTGGTCCACTCTTTGGTCCACTCTTTGGTCCACACTTTGGTCCACTTTTTGGTCCACACTTTGGTCCACTTTTTGGTCCACTCTTTGGTCCACTCTTTGGTCCACACTTTGGTCCACTCTTTGGTCCACACTTTGGTCCACTCTTTGGTCCACTCTTTGGTCCACTCTTTGGTCCACTCTTTGGTCCACTCTTTGGTCCACACTTTGGTCCACTTTTTGGTCCACACTTTGGTCCACACTTTGGTCCACTTTTTGGTCCACACTTTGGTCCACACTTTGGTCCACACTTTGGTCCACTCTTTGGTCCACTCTTTGGTCCACTCTTTGGTCCACACTTTGGTCCACTTTTTGGTCCACACTTTGGTCCACACTTTGGTCCACTCTTTGGTCCACTCTTTGGTCCACTCTTTGGTCCACTCTTTGGTCCACTCTTTGGTCCACACTTTGGTCCACACTTTGGTCCACTCTTTGGTCCACACTTTGGTCCA